GGGGGGTTCGAGGGGGGCAGAGTAGATGCGTGTGTGTGTGAGTGTGTTCACGTGTGTGCTGGATCTTATCACAAGATGCAGCATAGCACCGGTAGTTTTTGTCCCCCCCCCTCCAAAACCGTACTCACTTCCACGCACCCCTCAACACCACTTGCATTTGCTTGCCTTCCCTGCCAGAATCAAATCACCCACTGCGCACACACACACACACACACCTTGCCTCTTGGCCTGCTGTCCAGACAACTAGCCCATTGTGTGTAGCAACAGGTATGCAGAGAAGAGCCTGTTTGAGAACAGGCAATTGGATGCTCTGTGCTAAAGGACAGGTTCACATTTTTTCAAGTTTATTTTAGAACAATAGCAGCATGTTCTGTATGTCCATTAAAACAGTTATTAATTGGGGCTGTAATTGTTCCTCAAAGTTATTTTAATACAAAGTGTCCTGGTTTTGTGTTGTCCCTGTCAGTTACATTGGGATTACATTAGTGGGGGATCTCTTCGTAGCCTGTACAACAATCAATAATGCTGTTAACGTACATATAAACATGTAAGTTCTGTTCAGTGACTTGAAAAAATGCAAAACCTATTCATTATTTTGTCCTCACTCTATCTTAAAAAAAAAACCAACCCTATCCAGCGGAAGAAGCCAAGAGGAGGAGGAAGAAAACTAGCGGTGAAATGAAGCATAATAACAGCATTAGCGTACAAGGAGGCTGAAGCAGGGAGGCGAGCAGGAGGAGAGAGGATGGAGGGTTCGGTCAAAGGTTGAACTGGAGAAGGCAGGGGGGAGAAGAGAGGAGGACGAGGAGGAGGAGTGTTGATCCAGCCTTCACAGTGAGTGGATGTCACCTGTTTACACACTCAACAGTACGCATCGGTCTTGCCACGTTCTCAGAAGAGAGACAGCTGCACAGTGTCTCGTCTCATCGTCTCACCCTCACAAACAAAATCATGCTTTCTCAGGTCTAGTGGAGTCCCAGCAGATAGTTTTGGTTCTGGTTTTGAAGTATCTCTCTTCCCCAATATATGTTATGTTGCACACTGAACCTTTAATACCCTCCTGGTTACTCCAGATTATCTCTATGAATGGATTTCATTTGAACTACTTTCAACTGAAGAAATTGTCCCTATGGTGTCAGTTTACAGTGGAGGTCTGTCTATCTCTGTCTACAAGAAATTACATTAAAATAGTAATCATTTCGTCTCCCAATTACACCACATTTATATCCCACACAATAGTCGGGGAGGTCGGGTGGATCTTATTAAAGAAAAAACATATTGTCTCTTGCATTAATTGATTTAGGACGTATTAATCTAAGACCACAGTCTGTTCCTAATCTTAATCAAGTGCAGTGGGTGTCTAAACATAACCATCAAAAAGTTTCCGCTTTAATATGTCAGTGAACAGTTAGCACATAAATTCAGAATAAGTTTCTAACATATAATCCTGACACCTTATGTTTCCATCAAAACATATTTGCGGTTGAAAACTACTTTCTAGAAGATAAGGTTGTGTCTCAGGTGAGGTGAACATTGATTATGGAAAGATATTTTGCAGCTGAATGAAAGTACAAACCTCAAGATATCTTAAAAGCAGCAAAAAATTAGAGACTGTCCTCATCAGAAAACCGACACCATTGGTGATCTTTTTTTAAAACGACCTATGCTGGCATTTACCCAACAAGGACCTCTTGTGGGCTTGTGGTGTGTGAATAATGACTATTGTCTGTCATGAGCAAAGGTAGAAGTAGCGTGACGTTGTTATACAGACGCAAAACCTCTAATGGAGGAGGTTAGGGTCGGTGGTTTGGTCAACAAAGTGTGTGACTTTGACATGAGAGAGTGCGTGACTTTGACACAGGAGACTGTTGGTGATGTTCCTTTTTAACCATTATCATGACCTATTCCCTATCCTATAATGCATAAACTCAACAACATCTTCAATATAATGGTGGCAGATCAGATCATTTTTACTGTGAAGTGTGGAGGAGAAACACGAAAGTCCCTATCTAGAGCCAGTGTTTGGTTTGTCCTTTCTGGAGACATGGTGGCCTCTGGGCTATCTAAGGCAACAAAAACACAGCAGTTCTTATATCCAGGTGATTAAAAACTAATGAAAACATACTTGTGAATATTATATTCCATTCCTGCCATTAGATCCTCCTAAATGTTACACACTGTACCTTAAGACTGCAGTCAATCTCTAACAATGAAGAAGTTTAATCCAAACCGTAATATTTTCCAGCACAATTTTGGTGCCTTACACATAACATTTTTAAATCATAAAACAGATTTAAAAGTAATTTTGGAAGGCGCTGACAATAAAAAAAAAAAAATGCTTCGATGTGTTGTCCTGGAGGACAGAGACAAACACATTTTTGACATCTAAGTTTAGGTTGATAGAGACTTTTTATAATGACTCGAGGAGACAAAAGGAAAGGAGGAAGTCAGCTGACTTAATAAACCCAACCTCTGTTCCTGGTTATGTTGCTCTCCAGAATCTTACAGCTCATCTCCAAGCCTTTATTTTTTTTATTTTTGCTGCCTGAGGAGTTTCTCCAAAATTGAAATGCCTCACAATCCAGAGTATTTGCCAAACCTCCATTTGCCTCTTAGTGCTTGTATTTGTGAACAAATTGAGCACAATATTTTTGAATACATTGTACTCCCTGTCCTTCCTTTCCTATATGTATGTGCTACCTTTTTCAACTTCCCCCTTCATCTCGCTGCCGTGTTTAGCCCGATCAGAGGGGAGCTAAAGAGGGAGGTGGAGGGGGGGGCGGCGATAGAGGGGAAGAATGCGGCCATTGTGCTTTCCAGGTATGTGTGTTTGTGACAAACAGAAAGAGAGAGGGAGAGAGGAGAGAGAGGGTGATCAGATCTTGTTACAGGTGTTTCATAAACAACACAATAGTGCTAACAGGTTCCCCTCTCTCTCTCTTTCTGTCAGCTGCATTAAGTCGCTTTACTCTGCAGCTTTAGATTTCTGCTCCGGTGTTGGTGGATTAGGCTTATGGCTTTGTCTCACAGCACACACACACACACACACACACACACACACACACACACACACACAAACTAGACTGAATCTGTGGTTCCCCATTATAAGATGATCATGTGACAGTCATGTGACACAACCATATACTACGTGTGTGTGGGTAATTCATGGCGTTTAAGCTGTTTCTCTTCCTTATGCTTGAGGTTTGATGAATAATCATTTCCAATAAGCTTCCTGCTTTTAAAAATTCAGCTTAACCTTCAATCGCATTCAAAAACAAAAGAGATATTTTATTTTCTTTCCTGTTGCTCCAATGTTGACTGTCTTCCTGAAACTAGAGCGGACCCAAACACGATACCGCTAAGGTCATAGACAGAAAAAAGAAAAGTCTAGATATAAATTCCTGTCTTGGATAACTGTTTGTCCCTTTCTGCATTTGTGGAATGTGATACAGTGGGTTGAGAGATAAGTATCATTCTGAAAAATGGTTCACCTCTTGAACCCTCTTACGCAATCAGCTGTGAACCCACAGCTACTGTTTGACATACAGACAGACATACAGACGGACGTGCACAATTGAATGCTAAACATTTAACTGGTATCTATTTTTGGTTTTGGTTTTGCATGAGGCAGTTTGAAGAAAGCGTGTATCATCACCTCATCAGGTCTGACCAGCACTTCAACACTCACACACCTTTAACACGCCTTAAACCTGTGGAAGTATTTACAGTATTCACAAGGAGGCTGGTCACCTGTTGAGGAGGGCACACACACACACACACACACACACACACACACACACTCACAGAGGAGTGTATTACAGGTATCTCCCTGCACTTCCTTGTTCTCCATCTCCACAAGTTATTGGAAACAGAAAGTTAATAAGAGAAACGTATAACTTTTACATCTAAATTGAGTCTCTCTATCCGATTTCCTTTCAGTTCTCGTTCAGCTTCACGCCTTATTTCGTATCATTCAAGTTTTGTTAACTTGTTAAAAACAATTGCAGCCTTAATTATTTTGTATGGAAAATTACTAAAAAGTTTCGACCATAACTCACATAGTAACAAATTATTTAAGATTCTTGTTGTATAAAAAACACTTATCACAATGTAATGTGTCTGTAGTGACACAGTGAAAGATCAGAAAATGACACTAAAATAAAATTAATATTTTATATATATTGTAAACGACAGTCTGGGCTGAGTATTAAGAGAGAGACTGCTCTTTAAAAGATCAGCTGAACGTTTACACACAGACATAAATCCTGTAACTGCAGACATACGTACAGTATATAATGAATGCGCATGTACGTGCACTCACACTCGTATACGTCCACACAACTAAATCTGATAACACTGTATTTAGACAGTCCACCAACAGATAATTATATTAATTATATTAAAATAAGAGTATTTGCAACTTTTGAACAGCACAAATATCCATCTATATACATCTTGGTTTGTTCATGTCACAAATACTCTGTAGGCAGACTATCAAAATGAAGTGTTACCCTAAATCTCCTTTGTACAACAACAGGACACCCAAGGCTAATTGGCGCCCTGCTCAACCAGTTTCTAAAACACACACACACTCACACACACACACACACACACACACACACACACACACACACACACACACACACACACACACACGACAACCCGACAAGACAGCAACTGATCACACACACATCCCCACACAAATAAACATCGAGTCCCTGTCCCATAACCTTGCAGTGAAGGTTATAGCAGTCAGCTGGGTCAGTGCGAACACTGGACCAGCTGAAGAAATGTCCTTCCAGATACCCACTGTGTGTGTGTGTGTGTGTGTGTGTGTGTGTGTGTGTGTGTGTGTGTGTGTGTGTGTGTTCGTAGTCCTCCAGGTGAGAAAACACACCATGTTTCTTAACTGCAGCCTGGCAGCCAGAACTGTTAAGATTCAAATGAGAAATGGACAGAAAGGAAAGAAAAAAGGGACACATGATGAGTTCCCAGCCAACCTGTAGAATGATGGGACGTGTAGTCACTGTCACGCTGTAAGTTCTTCTGTCACCGTTCAAAAGCAACTCATCTTTCCTTCCTCTTCCTCTCCTCCTTTTGCGCTGTCTGTCAGGTTCTCTCCGGCCTCTCGTTCGCTGTCAATGCGCCTCCTGTCTTCAATGACAGGTCCCCCAAAGCACAGTCAGAACAGGTCTCAGACACATCAAACAAACACACACACTGTGAGAGAGAGAGGACAAGTCAGAGTTTCTGTTCTCCTTTTGGTGTTTTTTTGGAATCTGACTCAGATCCTCTCTGTTTGTCCTCTCTTCTGCTCCAGTCACGACAGCGCTTGTAGACGCAACAGCAGGAGACAAGAGAAGAGAGAGGGAGAGAGCGATAGAGAGAGGGGGGGGATTGGAGGAGCGCACAAGGTCTCAAAGTGGAGGAGAGAGAGAGAGGGAGCGCTGAAGGTGGTGGAGTTGAAGGAAAGGGCTGGGGAGGGAAGGAGTGAGGGAGGGAGAGATGGAGGGAGGAATGGCAGTGGTAATTAGTGAGTCTGTACCTGACTCTCACTGACATAAGCCCCACATTCCTCAGAAGCGAGGAGGGGGAGAGGCGAGGGAGGGAGAAGAAAAGAAAGGAAAACCTTCCTAATACACACACCAACACGCTAATGAACCCCCGAGAATACCCTCTCCACCCAAAAACAAACAAAAACCTATCTTCCGTGTAACACACCATAGCTGACGCGTCCCTCAAATCAAGGTTGCATGATGCTGAGTGAAGGTGCTGCTGCTGCTGCTGCTGCTGCTGCTGCTGGAGCTCTCAACCGTCCGTAACCTAAACCCTCCAACCTCTTCCTCGCAAGTGTGTTTAGTCTTCCCTCCTCTCTTTTAATTTCAGAAAGCTCTCTCTTTCCGTCCGTCTCTTTCTCTCTCTTCTGATCTGTGTATGGTGTACACACTACCTGCTTCTAAAACTCACCAAACCAGAATCTGACTGCCCAGATCTCCAAAAACACCTCCCTCCCTCCCTCTCTCCCTCCCTCCCTCCCTCCCTCCTACCATTCCGGATGGGAAATGCTATCCTCCTGCGGCCCTGGCCATTCTGTGTGTGTGTGTGTGTGTGTGTGTGTGTGTGTGTGTGTGTGTGTGTACATGTGTGTTTTTTGTGTGTGCACATGTGTGTGTTTTGTGTGTGTGCTCAAACAGCCGTTCTTGAATCATTTCAGTCAAAGCAGTTTCCTGTAAAGGAGTTTCCTGCACACCTAGTTCGAAAGAACCTCACACCACATGATCTCTCACACCCACCACATGCTTATTACTGATGAGCGCACACACAGACAGGCCAACCTTTTTTTGACTCATTCACAAATATATATACACCCCTGAAGTCACAATGACACGCTGTCTTTACGTTATATGTGTTCACTCCATTGACGTAGGTAGACCCCGCTGTAATGACAACTTTGAGAAATAACAACTCACTCACACCCTCAGGCTCGGATTTCTTGTGTTTAACTGTCAGCGTGAGGATGAAACTGGGGAAATCTGAAACTTTAAATGTCTACTTTCTCACCTTTGTTAGAGAGGTTGCTGCTCCTAACCTGAACTGAAAGTAAAACAGTCACAATATATACTGGTTCAACTGGTGTTTCTTATTCTCCTCCTCCATATTTCTTTCACTTCTTTATCTCACCACCCACTCTTTATTCTTTCAGTTTTACTTGTTTGATCATGTAGAGCAGTTTCAACACTCCAGACCTCCTCCTCTCATTCAACATAGAGTGTCAGTGTGTGTGCCTGTGCATGTGTGCTTGCCTACCTGAATTCCTTGCACTTCCTTCTTCCTGATCTCAGGTGCGTGGTGAGTGCAACGTCTTTGTGACAACTAGTTGTCAAGGAGACGGAGAGCGAGAGAGAGAGAGCTGACTGTACAGAGCAGTAACATCCGTGATCAGCCAACTGACAGACTGAGGACAGAAGAGAGAAGTGAGGAAGCTGGATTTCTGTTTAGAGTAAAAACACACACACACACACACACACACACACACACACACACACACACACACACACACTTACACACATGCATAGATTTAGATAAAGTCCCCACACAGACACACACACACACACACACACACACACACACACAGTAGGGAACTTCTGTGTATGTGTGTGTGTAGGAAACTGAGATTGAGTCAGACGTGCTCACACAGAGAAATAGCGTTTCAACACAGCAGCTGAACTCTGGCTGGGAGGAGGCTGGGTCCGTTGGACGTGTTGCTCAATACATTTCACTTTAATGCTTACTTAACAGGACTCACAGGCCTCAAATAAAGTGTGCAAATGCAGAAGCATATATGATACTGAGTTCAGGTTTAATAATTGTACTGTTACAGGGAAGAGTTCAGTTGATCTTGAGCAATCTGTGGAAAAGACTTCAGAGATAACTTTTCTTACTTTATTATCGCAGGTGGAAGAAGTAAAGTGGTTTATTAGTGTTAAGTCATCATTTGGTTGTATAGTAATAGTGTGTAAGCAGATAAAGCATATTTATGTGCAGGACAACAATATTCAATGTTTTAGCTACACTTTTTTAGTGCTTTAGTTTGCCAACTGTGTTTTTACATCATTTATAACTCCTGGTTTTCCTTTATTTTCTTCAGTATGAAAATCCACTTGCAGAGACTTGCTTAAGTTTGGTGATCCATCATAGTGAAGCCCAGGACTTCTTTTAAGATACATTATTGTTGCTTGTTTATACAGTGCAGGCTTTTGAAAGTCACCTGCACATGAAATTACCACTGCCAGTATAATAACTTTGACATGAGATGAATGGAAGCATCTCAAAGAGAAGTAAAATATATGGGACTTGCATGAATCCAGGTACGGTTCTTTCACATCTGGTGCAATAGTTCAAATAAACGTAATGTAAGTTGCCGTGTGTTTAGTTTGTATTATTGGTTCAATATAATTTATACTGTGACTTTTGTGTATTTTATATTACATCATTTTTAAATAAAAGCTTGCCTGTGGTGTTTTTGCTGATGTTGAAATATAAATGTTGGAGCAAGACTTTAATGTAGATATTTTGTGCAATCAGTATTAAAGTCACACTTAAATAGAGTCAAATGCGGAGAGTTTCTTTTTTATTTAATCATACTGTTTCCTGTTTAAATAACATTTTGACTCCAACTGTATGGTACAATACAACAGTATAATAATGCAATAATGCAAGGCGGGGTCATTCATAAACCAGGGGGATATCAGTTGTAGAGATAAAAATCATTTTATTTGATGGGAGGGGCATTATTGTTTTATTGGTTGGAGTTTCTATATACATCTCACCAATAAAGATAAACAGTTCATGAAAACTGTTTATATTTTTATATAAGTTGTCAGACATTGTTTGGTCAAATTGCTTAACTGAAAAACAGTTTTATTTTCCATTACTACAAAACACTAAACGAATGGAAAATATACCTCAACTATTTTTGTAGTTAAGTTTCTGTTACATTATTCTCACCACAGTAACTGCAGAGACCTTGAAGCAGGGCATCGTCACTAAAGCCTGATTATCTAAACTTTATTTGTAGGTGAAACAGAAAAATGAGCGCAAATGCTGATTGCAGAGGAAAACTGTTCGTGCACAATTATTGCAAGTACAGTAGGTCGAAGTTTAAAGTCCTTCTGTAACCTGTGAGGGACAAAACATAATTTATTATATGGTGCCAGACGTCTTTTTAACAATGTTGCCAATGTAGAATATCTCAAAGCTATTAAATGAATAGTCTGATATTTTGGCTCTGTCCAGAAGTTAAAAAAATGACACATTGTGGTTTTACAGGGGCTATGTGCTGGACAATTTATTGTTCTGATACAGCAACTTCCTGGAGTCTTCATTTTTTGCATGACAACATTACGGTGATAAAAAGACACCAGACTGATGTCAATCTCTTTGGCAAAAAAGCAAAGGGGGGTATTTCCCAAAATGTCAAAATATTACTTCAATAATTACAGAAATTATGGCTAAAACTAGGCCAGCTGTTTCCCCGTTTCCAGTCTTTATGCAGGCTGTAGATTCATATTTACTGTACACTATATCGATCTTCTCATAAATCTTTTTCTAAAAATAATATTGAACTATTCCTTTAATAGTTATATAAATGATGGCAAAAACAAAAAAAATTAAGGCCCACATTGTAATAAACTGAAATTATCCTTTAATAATAGCTACATGCACTTTTAGTTTACATACACACACAGAGACTTTGAGACGTGCATATGCAGCCTTTTCACAGGGTGTAAACAAAAGCAAACTCTTCCCACAATAAGCAGCTCAGACCCTGCCCTGGTTGCTACACAATAGACAGAGAGACCTGAGACACAGAGAGCAGAGATTCCCAGGAAAACACTCCGCCGGTCCTCCAAAACACCCGACAAAGACACACAAAGAGACGGGGGAAGTGTATCTATTCACCTGCAACAAGTGGGCCCAATCAAGCTATCACGCACACTGCAAGTAAAACTGAGAAAGGAGGAAAACTTGGATCATATTACTATTGTATCAGCTGGTGAACTGGATTCATGATGTCAAATTGTATCAAGTGATGTGGGCTTGCTGTGGATCTTGTTTTCAATCTGCTAGACTGCGTGTCATTTCTCTCTCTCTTTCTCTCTCTATCGCTTTCTCCCGGTGTCTCTCGCTCATGTTACACAAATAATAAGATCACTTACTGTACAAATTTGGCTGTGATGTAGGGACGTTTCGTGTCAAGTTCTGACCTCGTATGTTGCACAAAAGCGGCATTCTCCACTTTTCCACAATAGTTAAAGCCTAGCCTTATGTGGAAGAGTGTGTGTGTGTGTGTGTGTGTGTGTGTGTGTGTGTGTGTGTGTGTGTGTGTGTGTGTGTGTGTGTGTGTGTGTGAGAGAGAGAGAGAGAGAGAGAGAGAGAGAAAGTGAGAGAGAGAGAGAAGATTTTGGTCTAATAGATTCTAATTGGCTCTTGATGAGTGAGAGAGATCAAGCCCAACCTGATGAGCGCCACTAAATCTACCTCAGTAAATGCACCATGTGGCCAAATGTATGTGGACACCCCTGCACAGTTTGAGGCAGTTTTATGCCTTTTAACAGATACAGGGTTGGAAATAAAGAGCTTCATACGGAAGAGAGACCCCCCAGTTTGACCGAAAAGAAAGCCACAGGACTATCTTAGCTATGCTTAAATTCTATACAGGCTCTATTCACAGTCATGTAAATTTATGTCCAACAAAGGTCCCAAGAGGAAGTTCCAGCTTCCAAACTTTCTAATCTACAGAGAACAGACGCATCAGAGGTGTCTCTTCCAGCACATTTGACCAATCTTTTAAATCTAATTTAGCTATTTTCCAATGCGTCAAATTAATTGTGGAGTCTGTAATTACATCAGCTATAATAACTGAAAGAGCAAATTTATATTTTGATATGTTTGGTATTTGACATCTGAGCCATATCATATACAAGACTTCAATAACTTTGCCCCAGAATTATCTCACAGATGTAAATTTTCATATTCAGAGTAGGAAAGTTCCCACTTCCATTCTGTACTTCCAGAACAAATTATCCTTCATCAGTTTCAGTCAAAAAACACTTGATTTTATCAGATTATGGTAAATTGGGGCCCTGATAGCTCATCTGGTAGAGCTGAAGGAAGAGTCCCTGTCCTGTCTAATAAAGGGTAAAAAGCCCCCAAAAATATATTTATAATATTTAAAAGTTATGGTAAGTTTTATGGTATGCATCTTAACCACCAGGACACCCAACATTTTAGGGAAGGCCCTTTCCTGTTTCAACGTAAAGCCCCATACAGAAATTGTTTTCCCAGTTGGTTGTGGAAGAACTTGACAGAGCCCTGACCTGAACCCCATCCAACACCTTCTGGATGAACTGGAACACCGACTGCGTGTCAAGCTTCATTGCCCAACATTACTAATCCTGTTGTGGGCGAATGAGA